AAGTCATAGGAGAAATGGTAAAGGCCTGCTACAAACAGGGCAGAGGCAGCAGAAATGGACAAACACAAGCTCTATTTAAAGAGCTTAATCTGTAGGTTTTATCTGTGGAATGAAGGAGTGGGAAGAATCAAAGAGGATTCCTAACTTGCATGGCTGATTAGAGAGCTGAGACAGCCAGCAAGACAAAGAACTGAAAAGGTATCAGCTTAAGGAGAAGATGACTAGTTCAGCTTTCAACATGTTGCATTTGAGATGCCTGTAGGACATCCAGGTGGTTTTCTTGAACGGGCAGTTGGATACACAGGTATGAAGATCAAGGGGCAGGTTGAGACTGGAGGTAGCATTGGGAGGCAATAGTTGAAGCCATAAAAAAATAGATCAGGAAAAGCTTGGGGAAACATGGCCATGTAAATTCAGAGCATGAACTCTTAGAGGCAGAACTGTAGTATAGTTAGTTTGTATAGCTCTAGATACAGTCCCCTGGAAAGCCAGAGTGAAAAATTCTCAAGACAGAACAATGTCAAGTGTATTCAGATGAGGACTGTGAAATCCTCATTGTTTTGGTAGTAAGAAGGTCCTATCTGACACTGGAATGTGTGATACGATACTGGTGGCAGGAAGGACGGGACTATCAATTGTAAAGACACACCAAAGGGGGGGGGGTATTTCACAAGGCCTTTTATCTAAGGGGGGGTGGTCATTGGATTTAGAAGAGAAAAGAAAAGCCTTCATCATATTTCTTCACTCAGGAAAAATAATTGAGTTAATAATACAGGGGCTAGATCGATGGTTCAGCCGTTAAGAGCACTGCCTGCTCTTCCAAAGATCCTGAGTTCAATTCCCAGCAACCACATGGTGGCTCACAACAATCTATAATGAGATCTGGTGCCCTCTTATGGCCTGCAGGCATACGTGCAGGCAGAACACTGTATACATAATAAATAAATCTTTTAAAAAATAAAATAAAAAATAAAAATGCAGATAAGATGGAGGCTGTTGGAGCAATGCCTCCCTCCACTAATGGGCAAGGGGTCAAAGTCCCTGGGGCAAGGTGGGGGAGGTGTGTATCTCTTCTTCCTTCTTGTTTATTTGCAATGGATTATCTTGATGTTTTCATTTCATAGCTTCCAGTTTCAAGGACTAGGACACATTTTTCTTATTCCTGTACCATCCCCCTTTCCTGTTCAGGAAACTGATTGCTGATAGTTCGTTCTGTATAAAATGACTCATTCCATTACCTGCAAGAGGAGCCTCACATTTTTTTTTTACAAGTGAATTAGATTAGAGAGGTCAGTCCCTGGTGAGGTTTAAATAAGAACACAGTACCTGATGAGGGTGGATTCGTTAGCCATGAGAGACCTCAGGCCTTTCTAAGATGATTGGGTGTAAAATGTTGTATTAAAGATAGTACTCTAACTTTGGAACACTGTGTCCTAAATGGGAGGTCTTCATCAAATCCCTCCCTTCAGGGCTTAAGGTGCTATGCAGAACAGGAGGTGGAAAGATTGTAAGAGCCAAAGGGGGATAGATGACATCAAGGAAATAGTGTCTTCCAGACACAACAGATGGACACACATGTGAACCCACAGAGACTGTGGGAGAATAAACATGTCTAAGCCAGAGGCAGTCACAGTGCTGAGAAAGAAAGCGGACACAAACGCCCAGCCCTAACCCAATTGACAACCACATGCAATGGAAGATTCAGTTTTCTCCAATGACATCTCACTGGGCCTATAAACCACACTTAAGGGTAAGCCTCATGCCTGGTGGTAGATAACCAATGCAAACGAACTCAGCAGAGGTTCTATAGATTGTTTTTGTCACATAGTTCTTCCTTTGAACATTTTTAATATCTTACTGATGCTTCTATGTTGTGGCTTCCAGTTTTGTATTTTTATGGATTTTGTTTTTGTGTGTGTTTCTTACACCTCTTTGCTGTTTTTATTATTATTATTATCAGCATTATTATTTGATTTTTTTTTTTTGGTTTTTCGAGACAGGGCTTCTCTGTGTAGCTTTGGAGTCTATCCTGGCACTCGCTCTAGAGACCAGGCTGGCCTCAAACTCACAGAGATCTGCCTGCTTCTGCCTCCTGAGTGCTGGGATTAAAGGTGTGTGCCACCAACGCCCAGCTATTTGATTTTTTTTTTAATTTGTCTGTTTTCTGAAAAGAGAGAGAAAGAAGTCAGATAGGTGGGAAGGATCTTGGAGGGGAGGGGAACCACAGTCAGAACACATTGTTTTAATTTTCAATTAAAAAAGATAGTACTCTAGGGGCCTAGAGAGATGGCTTAGTAGTTAAGATAGTACTCTAGTGTGACTAGTTGGGGCTACCAATTAAATTTGGCTTTCTCTTAAGGAGAATAATTAAAGGGAAGATAAACAGAGTGTCATTACCTTATGTTAAACTGGTATTATGTCTCTGTGCAGTAACTGTACATCCTGTACTTTGCAATGCCAGAACCTAGAATGTTAGTGTGACTGGGAAAGCTGGGCCCTTGGCCCTTCATGCTGCATGTGGTAGACTATGATGTCAAGAAGTTCACTGCCAACTTTTAAGAATCTAATTAAGATTCTGAACTGCCTGGAGTAGCATTGCCCATATTGTTTCATGTTCTGTCCTGGTGAAGACCGGATCTATATCTGAAAAGTACGTGTAGGGAGAGACCCTGATTACCTGTACTGCTGACCACGCCCATTTGGGCATGTTCACAGGTATGTAGAAGGGTGTAGAAAAGGGAGAGAGAGAGCCGGGCACACACTCTCTCGGGTTTCAGTCAGCTTTGGGAAGCATCTGAGACAGGACTTCTCCGAGTACCAAATCTGGTCACTGACTCCTTGTGTGAATATATATTTCCCAATAAATTAGCAGCTAATAACCTATCTCAGGTTCCATTTTTGTACCTCTTTAGTACTTACTATACCTCTACTTTATGGATTCTCAGATATTAGTACACTAACTGATCACAAAGCCCTTACAATAAATGCAGTTGAACTTGAGCTTGTGGTGCAAACCTTTCATTGTCAGCCACCGGGCCCTTTCTCCGGGTTCATTCAGCCAGGAACCTGCATCCATGCTTTACAGTACTTTACACATCAACAGCAGGCTTGGAAGTGGAAGCACTGGTATAGTAAAAGACAATTTCATCTCGAGACTGGAGAGGTAAAATAAAGATTAAATTGATAGCTGGCCAATAGAGCTCTTAAACCCACCTCCTGGAGTGCAGCAACCAGAGCAAGGCTGTAGATGTGACCTAATGAGAAATGAGGTCTCTTAAAAAGACAGTGTTGTCAGAGCAAATCCCTAAAGGGAAGCTAGCGGGAGAAAACATTGGTCACACCAAGTGTCTCTGAGTGGTAGTTCTGTCTTTGTTTTGGTTTGCTTCTTTATTTGTTTACTTTTTAAACTCCCTGTGTCCCAGGCTTTTCTAGACCTCATCCTGTACTCCAGACCGGGATCACTTAAGAGGATCTTCCAGTATTAGCCGTCCACATACTGGAATTATAGGCCGAAGATGCCATTCCCAGCTTGATGCCTTATTCTTAACTGTAATTTTTAAGTTCAAGAGACAGAGATGAAACAAACCCATAAGAGTTGCCTTCCAAGAGATATGTGTAACTAGAGTAAAGTAGGAACTCAGACTAAGGGAAAATTTAAGTTAAGGGACAGGAAATCACTGGGAAGCTGCATAGTAGTGCTAGACAATATTCTATAACACCGTATAATCAAACTGCTCACTCTCCAGCACAGTTTGCTCGCAGAGCCAACACTGAAAATATAGGGCCAGGTTCTCAACCTGTGTGTCTTGACTCAGTTGGGGGTTGAATGACCCTTTCACAGGGGCCATGTAAGACCATCAAACATTATCATCATAATAGTAGCAAAATTACAGTTTTGAAGTAGCAAGAAGATGATTTTATGGCTGCGGGTCACCACAACATGAGGAACTGTTTTAAAGGATCTTGGCATTAGAAAGGTTAGAACCACTGAGCTATGAGCTAAGCACTCAGAGAAAAGAAGTTTATTAAGGAGGTGTTGTGAAAGACAGCAACAGTGTGCTCACTAGAAATCTGGAAAGCCCCAAACAAACAAAACTCAACCCTTAAAAAATTTAATCTTTGTAACCTAATCCTCAGCATCTTTGTCTCATTCAAAACTTGGACTCCCTTGAAGCGATACAGCTTTTGAATGTGCCATAATTAAATACTTGGGGAGCGAGTGTAAGAAAAGCATTCCTCGTTATTTGCCAAAATTGTGAGATGCCCTGAAATGGAATTAAAAATTAGAAATACCAGCTTCTAGATGCATTGTGTTGCTTTAGCTTGATCCCATTTCTATGGATTCTTGGGCTTCTATTTTTAGTGAGGCATGATTTCAAGACAAGCCAGCATGCAGAGTGAGTCTATAAGTGAACTGTCTTTCAACAGTCCTTCAGCAGCTCGCGCTTATAAGATGGTAGCATATTCCCTACTATCAATCCCATGTTCTCTAGCCTTAGGACTTGGTCAACTTGTTGCTCTTCAGCCCCCATCCATAATCACCATGCAACTCGGCAGTCAGATCACCCGTCTGACCCCGTCCAGGCAGTTCTGGAACACTTACACCATGGAAATTGTTTCCTATTTTGTTCTCTGAGCCTGGAACCACATCAAAAGTTCCTTGGAGGTTATTCAGGTCGAGATGAGTTTTAGAAAAGGTATTTGCTTGTCACATATCTGCCTGACACATTTCCAGTTCAGTGAGCCTGCCCTTTCCATACTAGCTTTTGGAAAATTCAAAGTTATTTCAGATGTAGCTATTAATTGCCATAGCGAGCAAGACATTCATTCTGATAAATGTTTATGTGAAATCAATTTTGAGTGTTAAAATTGCCCATGCTTAATAGTTAAAGTTGCAATGCTCGTTTTGTGGTGTAACGTAAAATAGTTCTCCATTTGTTTGGAAAGTCTTAACAAAAGTCATAGGTCAAAACTAATCAAGTTGAAATGGGGCATTTCATATACTTACCTGACAGGGGAGATACCATGATCGAGAAAGTGGTTTTCCCAGGGCGAGTCTCTTCCATTGCACTCCGGATGTGCTGACCCCTGAGATTTCTCCAAATGTGGGAAATTTGAATGCATTAATTTGCAGCACTTGGGGGGGGACTGCATTCCTACTCTCTCCTGAATAAAAGACAGAAAATGTGGCATGTCTACACAACATAAAACAGCTCTGTGACCACAATTTATTTACATAAAAATAAAAGCAGACATACAGTTGCAAACTGAGAGATGCCTCAACATATTTTAAGCTAAGGTAAAAGTTACTTCTGGGCTACAAAGGACAAAACCCCTGTTCTCCCTGCACAGAATCAGCATCAGGTAAGTGATCACCTATGGAGTTTTTATATGCCCATCACATGGGTTTCCACTCCCAAATTATCCTTAGTATGGCAGTTAGCAGATTGGCATAGCAATTACTATTGAAAGACTAATTTTTACGTGAAAATAAAGTTGGAAGTCCATAGCTGTGACTACCATATTGTATCCTAGATCTTTGCTGTGATCAATCTTTATTGTAAGATGTGCTCAATGGAAGACTGTGTTATAGAAACTGATAGGCTATCATGGTTTATGAAGATTGGTTGTCCTTTACTTATTCTTAATTTAAAATATAATTCCCGACAGCAAACTTAGAAAGTAGGCAAAGGAAAAGGTAAAAGGACTCACTTTGTATTAAGGAGAGCAAAAAGTTTGTTATTTGCCAAGTCATATGTGTATATACCCATTGACTGTATTAATTTTAACCACATGTAATGGGTCCTTTCCTTGCTAGGAAGGCACACCTACTGTCCTCTGTTGCCCAGCGTAGAGTAGCGTTTGAATGCGTCACTTAGTATTAGTCCCTGGCAGAGGTGATCTGTGTGCCCGTTCATCTGGACCCTCTGTCCTGACTTCAAGTACTAATTCTTTCATTGATGTATTCTAACAGCTCACACACACTGTATATAGTCATTGCTCAGAGACAACTGAACATTTGTGTCACTGGCTGCTCTCTTTCAAAGCCACGCTACACTAGGCACAGGAGTTGGATTTTAGGAACCCCAAATGGCCCTCTGACTGTTGGAAGGATCCCAACTTGACTTGTTTCCACACGAGATCAGAAAAAAAAAACAAAAACAAAAACAAAAAAAAACAAAAAAGGAACTTTTGACTGTACAGGTATGAAACATCTTTTTTGGCAGAACATATCCATTCTTTAAATACTCGCCTAAATTACCTTTTCTCCGCTTTCTAGACTGGAGCTGAAATAAGTTGATGCTTTGACATCTGGAGACAGGTAGCTGTTTGAAGGCTGGATGCTGATCATTACAAAGAAGTTCAAAGAAATAATGGGCATGGAAAGAGATTCTCAGGCCTACCATAAATTAGCACCCGGCTCCTTAATGTACTTGGGGACTATTCATTACATGGAAACAACATGATGCCTGACCTTGTAGATCTGGTCCCAGACAATGTCTTTGAAGTCACTTCATTCTTGTTCCTACTTCAAGTATCTTAGACATGTGTCTTTATATAGTCCTCTGGAGGGTAGGGACCATATCTGAATTCCTCCATGTGTTTTCTAGCGCAGAGAACTCTTAATATTGAAAAGGGGAGGGAGGACTCATTAAGAATTTATATATGAAATACTACCTTATTTTGTTTCTCTTTTGATTTTTCATTACAAAACGATTACATGGATTCTTGTTCACTTTAAGAGTTTTTAAATAAGTATGAACAATAAAACTAACCACCACCACCCCCTGTACATTGTAGACATTTGCAATGTGGTACATAGCTCTTTTGGTTTGTTGGTTGGTTGGTTGGTTTTTTGGTTTTGCTTTTTGTTTTGTTTTGTTTTTGACAGGGTTTCTCTGTATAGTTCTGGCTGTCCTGGAACTCCATTTGTGAAGCAGGATGGTCTCAAACTCAGAAATCTACCTACCTCTGCCTCCTGAGTGCTGGGATTAAAGGTGTGCTACACCATCCCTGGTCCATAGCTCCATTTTAAACTTACATTCTTGGTTTCCATCCTATTTTTTAAATGTGTTGGGCTTTCAACACTTATGGTTACTAGACTTACATAACACTGGGCACAATTTAGAATTTATTTCTACATAAATTTTTTGGTAACAATGAGAATGTATGAAATGCTTTTTAATCTGCAGAACAAGCATTGTTCTTTCCATCTCACTATTGAATATTGCATACATTTAGTTACATTTTCAAATATTTATAACTCAGTGACCCTCATCACACTTTTCTTTGTTTATTTAATGCATATGTGAGTGTAAGCATGTGCACATGTGTGTCAATCAGAGAAAACACACAGAAGTCAGTTGTCTCCTTCCATTATGTGGGTCCTGGGGAATTGAACTCAGATTGCTGGGTTTGATGGCAAGCTCCTTTACCCACCAAGCTATCTTGCAGGTCCCTTTAACCCAAATTTTACAATTAAGTTCCAGAAAGAATAACATTGAAGGTTGTTCCCCACAAAGAAATCTATCTCCACCCACAGATAAACACTGAGCCGAACTCCTGGAATTCAGTTGCAGAGAGGGAACAGTGATGAGCAAAGGGGTCAAGACCAGGTTGGAGAAACCCACAGAAACAACTGACCTGAACAAGGGGGAGCTAATGGACCCCAGACTGATATTTGGGAAACTAGCATAGGACTGACCCAGACCCCATGGTTTCAGTTAGGAGGCCTGAGCAATCTATGGGGCCTCAGTATTTATCCCTAGTATATGAATGGACTTTGGGAGCTCATTCTTCATAGAGAGATACTCTTCAACCTAGACACACTGGGGAAGGCCTAGGCCCTGGTCCAAATGATATGACAGACTTTGAAGATCCCCGTGGAAGGCCTCACCTTCCCTAGGGAGCCTAAAGGAGATGGGATAGGGGGTTGGTGGGGGCCAGGGGAGGGAGAGGGAACTGGGATTGACATGTAAAACAAGCGTGTTCTTAATTTAAATAAAGAAAGGAAGGAAAAAAGAAATCTTTCTTAATGTAGGCATTAGGTATAATAAAACAATGTAAAATATACTTGGCAGTTTAACAAACATTGAGCCTGTGATTAATGCCAGATTCTGTCCCAAACACTCTGCATCCAGACTTTTGACCTCTAAAACTAGGCAAATGAGACCCACTATGTGTTCTGTTCAGTATGTTTCCCCGAAGAATCTAATCTGCCTCCACCTGCTAACGATGCATCTCAACTTCTGGAAGTATGACAGTATGACTTTAGGCATACTTGGGACAAGCCACTCCAAGGAGATCAGTGATTACTGGGTTTTTCCAGCACAGGCTACCGCTTCCCCGGACACTGGTCTTGCTCACTCATTTCTGTTGCTCTGCCAGGCCCACAGATGTGTGTTTTCGGGCACATATCTGTACTGTTCTCTGCAGACTCATTTTGTCCTCTCTGTACTGACAGCCACTGGGCTTTCAAAGCTTAGGCTCCAACAAATCAAAGCCTAGGCTCCAACAAATTGGGCCATTTGGTGAAATAAGGCTTTTTCTTCAATGTTCGCTTATAGTTTATTTGCAGAGCATGGAACTCAGCCAGACAACTTTATCCTTTATCCACGAGCAGCTATAAGCTATATCTGTGGTCAAGTAAAAAGCACAGTTTATGGTCCCCCCCCCCCCGCAAGGCTTCTTATCCCTGATAACTGATGCAGCCTGACCAGAATATCTACCTATCTGTACATTACACAAGCTATGTGTACCAGACGCCCTCTGCACAAACCTGGAGCTCACTATAAAAACACACTGTTATTCAATCCATATTTTCCTCCAGCTCCTAGTAGACTCCGATTCAAGATGAATGTCTTATCAAATCTGATGTGTAAATATCCTGTTGACAATCAGTATGAGGACAGGATTAGAACTGTTTTCTAGATGTTGGGTTATAAAGGCATTGGGGGAAGATATCCCTGGCTGGCATGTATCTGTGAGGAACAGAAGGAAAACTGGGCAGAAGAGTGGTGCTTCTGAAGGACAATGAGGTCTTCAGAGAACACAGCTCTACCTGGGACTTAGACTGTGAACCTTGACTGTGGTTATGGCTCAATGGCTCTAAGTACTTAGCATGTACCAGACCCTGGGTTCAATTATAAGAACAGATGCACAGACTAGTGGGCGCACACACAAACATGCACATACACCACACATACACACACTCATGCACAGGCATGCACCCCACATTACAAATAATAAGGCTATGGATCCCAGACATTGCTGTTGTTCTGTTCCCCCCCACACAATCCCCTCCCCTCCACACACACACACACACACACACACACACACACACACACAGTGGAGAGGTCTGTGTGGGAAGAAGAAAGAAGCAAAGCTCCTTAACTAAGAAGGTTTTCATTTTGGCAAGGATGAATCAAGCCATGATGAATTTTGAGGGTTGACAGTTCATATTTACAGAAAAATAGTTCACAGAAAAAGCCCACTCCACAACCACCAACCACCAGTTCTCAAGTGATCATGGTTAAATTCCTGCTTGTTTGTTTGTTTGTTTGTTTGTTTGTTTGTTGAGGCAGGGCTTCTCTATATAGCTTTGACTGTCCTGGAACTCACTCTGTAGACCAGGCTGGCTTCAAACTCATAGAGATCTGCCTGCCTCATCCTCCCAAGTACTGGAATTAAAGGTGTGAGCCACCACCGCGTGGCCCTATATTGATTTATAACTTGTATTTTAGAATTTGACATGCATCCCCCAATTGCACAATGCACTTTAATCAGCTGTAAAGCCCTGTTGTGGCTTATCTCTTCGATAGTTCACAAATCATTGTGCCTAATTAAACTTGTGCATTCTTCGTTTGCAGCTGGTAGATCATTTGGTGAACTTAATTATTTGGTATTGCAAGAGATGTTTTTAATATTTTTCTTAATTATCGATAGACTATATGATCATTTTCAGTAGACTTATTTGGGCTTTCAGAGTAAACGCTTATGTATTTCCACATAATGCTATGGTAATTTCCTATAATGAAATATTTCATAACGTTGAAGTGTTTTTTCTGTCCTGAAGTAAATTGTATTGCTAGTTGTGTGACATACACTACTACAGGGTATTTTAATGGATTTAACTCACAGTAGCAGTTTTGAAGGAATTTACTTTGTTTGGTAAATCAAAACCGAAATAATTCTCTTTATTTGTTTGCATTCAAGATTCAGTATCAAATCATAGCAACACTAGAAAAAAGAGTTTGGAAACAATCTTTTATTATTCCCTAAAAAGACTTTTCAAAATCAAGGCAAAATGAACCAAGTGTGGTTGCACCAATCACCAACAGGTGCATTCAGGAGTCCATTTCAAATGACGTCTGACAGGAACATTGGTGATTTGAGAGTATTAATTAGCCTAGCCTTCTACAACTGCTGGGAGAACCCATCATCTCATCTTTCTTTCTCCAAGATTAACTTCAGCTCTCTAAAATCAGAAGTAAACTATCAAGTTTCCTATTGAGACAAGGCAAAACCCTGACACTTCTTTTAGGTGAAATCTATTTCTCTCAGAGATACTGAAGTACATATTTTTGGATATCCTATCTATATATCTACTTAAGAGTAGCAAACACATCAGCCCCCAAGTACTAAAATAATGTTTAAAGTACTACAGCCTTGTGTGTTATTATAACTTGTTTTCATTTTGCATGTAATTAGCACATAGACCCATTATGGCAATTTCAGAAGCCAAACTCAAGACAAAATCACATTTAAAAATTGTCTTTATTTTGGCTGCAGAACACTGCAGTGATATTATTTCAAGGTTCCATGTCACATTTATGCTTAGGTGTTTCCTTATATAATCACACAAAGATGGTAATATGTAGGGACAGAGCACTGAGTGGCTGAGGTAGGAAAAGAGATAGGAAGAAAGCATTTGATTGTAAACTCTTTAGAATATCATCTATTTGGAATAATGTTTGAAATATAGGCATATGCACATACAAAATATATAAAGCTTCAAGAATAGGCTATTTTTGCAGGTTCCATGATTTACTAACTGTCCAAAGAAATGAAACTTCTAACTATAACACATGGGTAAGGAGTGGGAAAGTCCTTTTATTGTCTCTGAAAATAATGTGGGTTGCCATTTTGTTCCATGACAGACTTAAAGTACCATGTTTGAATCAATGACATGGAAATTCACAAAAGTATCTGCTCTACTGTAGAGAGATAATGTCAAACCATATGCTACTGCATCCGGTCCAAATACTCACATGCTTGCACACCACACACACACACACACACACACACACACACACACACACACATGCGCGGCCGGTGTGGGAGAGGCATCTTATGGAACAGTTCCTCAGCTGCACTGGAAACAGAAGACTAAAAATGACAAGACTTCTTTCTAACTTCAGCTGTGATCTTTTGTGAGACACAGGTTACACTGGTTCTTGTTTATGTAAATCATCTCTGTGCCCTTTAGACAACATCCGTGTGGCAGCAATGTAGTGCAAGCATAACAGTCCGTTATATCAGTCTGTGTGGAGTTCAAATATCTGTGGTTTCTCACCCCTGATTTCTTGATCTTCATTTGCAGGTAGTGAAATCAAAGTTATCCAGAGAGCACCATGTTATCAAGATGAAAAGATCCAAGAACCATATTGTGGGGAAATACTTCAGCAGTCAAAACAAACTACAACGGCAAAATTCTGTCCCAAATGTTCATTCACCATATCATGTCAGAGGTCCAATAAACCAGGTTTGTTCTGAAATCCTGCTCAGCAGGATGTGTGCGAGTCAGAGGTCTGCACGGGCTCCCTGAAGGAGATCTCAGCCATTCACCTGGACAATGGCCTGAGAACCAAATGTGCCTCACACATACTTGGCAATGATTGCACACTCAGCAGGGCAAGCACGCACACCAAAGCATACAGCTTTCAAAGGAGTAACGACACATTTTTCTTATGACTGAATGCATCCAAAAGTGACCTTGAGCATCCATTGATGGTTTCAGACCGAAGGACAGTACTATAAGGAGATCACTTGAAATGTGATCACAAACTAGGACCACGTGGACCAGGTATTGTAGTGCAATATGATAAACAAAAATTTAGAAATGTAACAATATGGGGATATGATTGATAATGCTGTCCCTGTGCTATCCTCTTCATCGGCCCACTAACATGGTGAAGAAACAATTACATTCCACTTGGAGGGATAACAGTTAATCCTTTACCAGGAGAAAACAGGGTATTTTTTGTGGTTTGAGCTTTGTGGATCTAATGCTTATGAAAAACATTTCTTCTTGTACTTTTAAAAGTTTGTAATGGAAGGAAAAGACCAGGAGTGATGCTCTACCAGGGAATTCAAAGAGATTCTCTGCTAGCAACAACAATATTGTATTTGACTTTGTGTTCCTGTGAGTTACACACACACACCAACTGTAAATTTAGATGGGGAGCACAGTCTAAATTGGTGATATGCATAATTTTAAAGTGTGAAAAAATAAAGTTCCCCATTTGTTACTTTGTTATGTTCGTGGATGTCATTCCTAAAGAAGCTTCACTTGCTCCATAGATGAATCTGATGTAAGCCGACAATTACATTTTTGCAAAGGATTGCAGGTTCTCAAATGTGTAAACATAAAGAATTCTCTATGTACCCACAAGTAGTATTATGTGACTAGTGTGTGTATTTTTATTTGAACAAATGTGTTTAATTCAAATTAGAGTAAGCATACAAGTATTTTTTTTCATAAAATTATGACATAAGTGACACTTCTGTCTTATTAGGTACAAAATGGTAAGTTGCAGTATTACACAAGTCCCTTGTTATGGGATAACATCTCACTGCTATGGTGGGTTTTAAAGGATAATTTGGGGGTGAGGAGAAGAAGCTGAGAAGGCCTAACTCAGTATGTAACTAAGATTACTAAATGTACAAATACCTCAAATTCATTGCCTTAAAAAGTGAAACTATTTTGTTCTATTGACCCATCAGTTATTTAGAATGAATATCCACCTTCAAATCTCTATTTTTATATATATTTTTGTAAGGACATAAACATGAACTTTTATTTAACTGTATTAAATTATGTTTAAGTATGAATATCACTTGATATAAACAACATGCATTTTTGAATAGATTTTTTGAACAATAGTACCAAATTAACTTAAAAATGAAATATTTTCCATACATGCATCTATATACAAACACTGTTTTTAGATTTTCAGTTATTTTTGATGATATGAAATGTTAGCAATTGATACAGCTGCTCCATCAAATTTTAAGGCATTGCATATTCCACAGCAGCATTACATTTAATGCTAGATTTCTGTAACTCACTATCAGTGTCACTGTAAAAATCCTCTGACTTGAGTTCATCTGGTATTGTCCTTTTCACCACTGAAATGCTACTAGATGTGAGAAACAATTTTAATGTATTTTCAATAAATGTCTAACTGGTAATCATGTGTTCAGGGAGTATCTTTTAACTTTCCTCTTTTAAAGTGTTTTAGATTTATTTATTTTACTTTGCATATATGAAAGTTCTGCCTGCATGTATGTATTGTATGTGTACCACATGCGTTCCTGGTGCTCAGCATTGGAGTCTCTGGAACTGGAGTTACAGAGGGTTCTGAGCCACTGTGCAAATGCTGGGAATCCAATCACAGACCTCTGCAAGAACAAGAGCCCGTAGCCACTGAGCCATCTCTCCCTCCCCTTAGCTTCTCATCTACTAGAGTTATACAACCACACAAAGAGTGCCTACTGGGAAGGTGTATTGTTGAGTGGATTCTCATGCTGGAGTGTGTGACAAGCAGGATTAACCACATACTTCCTTCAGCTCTGACACAATCTCAGCAATGGATGGGATGAACGCTGCCGTGACCAAAGCTTTTGAATGTAGTTTAATAGTAAGAATTTCTTGTTTTTTAAGTTTTGTAAGGGAAGGCACTGAAATTCTAGTGAGTGTTTGAGTCTTTTCTTACCTGAAGAAACTGTATTCTGCACTGGGTAATTAGATGTGAATATGTGCCATCATAAACATATTTTTCCATTTTAGAACATTTTAATTTGAGGAGAGAAAATAGGAGTAGGCCTTTAAAAACATTTTAAGTGTGAAAGTTGCAGGAAGTGTATTGTTTTGAGTAAGAATTGATCAGCATCCAATCTAAACTAAACTTAAAACAAAACATTTATCATATTAAAAGTCAAGAATAGCTGCACAAACATTTCCAAGCAGCTCTATTGACACTGGGTGGGAGTTCCTGGGTGTGCCTGTGTGTGTAAGGGAGCATGTACATGTGGATTGGGTGTGTGGGGGTGGGTGTGTGGGTGCATGTGTATTGTGTATGTGTGTGTGAGAGTTTGTATATGTATGTAAGTGTGTGTATCATGTGTGAGCATGATGTGTGTGTGTGTGTGTGTGTGTGTGTGTGTGTGTGTGTTAAAGGTGCAGTGTACTGTTCACCTGTAAACAAGCAGGACTTTATAGAGATGCCATGACACTCACCCTTTCTTGCTGGGCTGGTTTACATTGGAGTCACTGGACCTTTTTTAGACTAGTTTCCTTTATGCCCTTAAGTCTTCCCTACAGAGGACTGAGTTTCATTCACTTTAAAGCATTGGGGGAACTTACTGGAAACAATTCTAATGGAAATAAGGAAGAAAATAAAGCCCAATGGTATCCTACATCTTTAGTTTGTCCCTTTAGTTCCATTTCACTGAAAAATTCCAAATAAATATTTTTCAAAATGGGTCCAAAATTACAATATCCAGTAAGAGTTCTCTTCTCAGATCTAAGGCTTTGTCATGAAAGGAGAGAAGAGGCATCTAGTGTTATAAAAGCTTGATCCAAGAGCACACTAAGCATTGCCCTTCATTTAAGCAAGTGCTGAAACAAAATAAAAGAAAATCACCAGCATCGATGCTAGTATTGTTGAACTTAAACTACGCAATTGGAACAGTAACTTCAAACTTGTGCATCCCAGCACCAAACAGCAGCACCCTGCTCATACAGCTTTGACTGGGTCAAGGAATAACTGCCCTGTAAATGGTATTTTGACTTTTGTTGTTGCTTTTTGGCTGCCTTGCTTGTTTTTGAGAAATAGGCTACCTATGTAGCCAAACCTTGGCCTGGAACTCAAGATCCTCCTAATGAATGCTGGGATTCATGAATCATCGTGCCTGCCTTTATTTTTTATATGCATTTAAATTTCAAATGTTTTTTATTACTCTTGGAAGTGAAGGCATTTTTGATAGATCATATCAGCCTAAGGAGTTGATACAGAAGTTATCAGGACCTCCTCTCCCTGCCCTGAAAATCTGCTAAAAACAACAGGATCATGAGCAGGTCTGCAAAGTAGACTGCATTGGGCAATGCTTCCAGGGCTTCATATGGTCTGAGAGCCTTTTATCATGTTTTTATTGCTGCAGTAACTGCTATTACCAACCTCCATATTCTTCTCATGATATATATGGACAGCCAGACTCATTTTCCCCTCAAGAATACAAACTATGTTCCTAACACCACAATCTATCTACTTCTTTTCTTTATGTTCAGTGAAATTTAAAGAATTTGCTTTGTGGATGGCAGATCACTGAGCCTTGGCACACTCAAAAATACACAACCAGTTTGTTCACTTTTATGTTTTATCAAGGGTAATTTGCCAGTCTACCTACAATGTAAGTCAACATAATTCCTTAACTCTAACAAAAAGAACATAGCTTACATTTAGAGAAAGCACACGATTCACACATATTTACTTCAGTTACAGTTCCACTTTCTTTTTGTAATGAAATCTATGGGTTGAAATCTTATAAAAATTCATGTAAGCTTGAGTATGACATCAAGGTCAATATTTTAATTTCCCTTAAAGTCTCTCATTCCTATTGGGTCCATATTTGCATGTTTTAAAAATTAAAACATTAATTGGTCTTAGAAAGTAAATTTTGTTTGTTGAGGCAGGGCTTCCTTCTGCAGCCTAGGCTGGTCTTGAACTCTTAAACTTCCAGTGTGCAGTGGTTATAAGGCTATGACACTATTTAATGACACTTGGTGCCATTAAAAAAAATTAGAATCTTCAAATGAAATGAGTGCACAAACCTTTCAGTGTAGGTGTAAGGGTACAAGTCTCCTTCTAAATATGAAAGATTATTTGGTTTCCAGCCCATTTTTACCTTAATAACTACAGATCTGGGCACATAACCCATGTGACTTTTGCTTGTAGGTATGTGAATATGAGTAGATGGTGCATGATGCCAATACTAAATCAAGAGAAGCCCAGATTAGTTCCTAAGGGCCACCACAATCAACAAAGGGTTGAAAGAAAGGGAATTAGAAGCATTTGCTAGGGCCTCAGCAGATCCTGGGAAGGACACAGGTCACAACACTTCCAAGATACCTTGATGAAAGTTAGACACCTTTTCAAACCTTTCCTTGATGTGTAAGTCATTCTGCAAGGTCTAATAACCCCTAAAATGAAAGCATAAATCATCATTTTATGTGCTTATTGAGTCAAACTTGGCAACCTAAATCAACCAAATAGCAGGTAAATGTGCTTTTAATTGTATATTATTTAATAAGAAAAGTAGAAAATGCACTGTAATTGCTCATATGGTGTTTGTCTGGAGACGCTTAAATGACAGCTCATTTTCCATTACACTAGATCCTCCAACCCCCAGTCATGGGGTCATTTCTCTCCCAGGGCAATTCCTATCCCTGTTCATCCCTGGCTTTGTCGTTGAGATGGAAGTTATACAACATTTCTCTGTGTGCATCTGCTATGTAATACAAGGTTCTTCTTAAAGCTTATATTTTACATTCTATGCCTCGCCTTAATTACATGTAACATGGAGTTTATGTTTGATGGGCTCTCCAGCTTTAAGGTATCATAAAGAGAATTTATGAGCCTTTGTTGAAAACCACTGTCCATGTAATTGGCAGAACATGAGATTATCTGCGACTACTTCTTATAACATAAAAATTTCTCCGCATTAAGAATAGTATGAGTGGAACGGAAACAGTACCTGTGTAGTCTGAAATGAGTTTAGTCATCAGATGGCACCTAGTTGGAGCGTCTGCTTTCCACTACGTGTGCGTGCCCACTGGGGAAATCCAGTTCACACACGCCTCACACAAATACTTGTTTCAATGTTCACATTTGCTATGCAAAAGCAGTGGCATGTGTTTAAAAGGGTGTGGATCCAACCAACAGCACAAGCCACTCATGCCAAGAATAGGATCTTTTCAGTAGGATGGAGTATCCAGGGCCATATCATTGGTAAGCACCCAGAGCTTAGTCTTGGCCACCTACCTTATGAATAAATTGATACCTTCTATGAATTATTTATAGACTATGAGATGAAGCTGATACAGACATTGCCTCTCAGGTTCCAACTTCCCCAGAAGAATAGGCAATCTCCAGTGAGCAATTGGCTTATGTTGTGTTTTTCTGTTTCCTGGGATCATCATAATAAGTCTTTGAAGTATTGTCCTCCTTGAAGTCAACTTATCTTCCAATGCAAGCATCTTTGGGCAGATATCCCAGTAAACTGTTACAAAATGCAATGAAAATAAATGTCTTACCTCTACCATGGACTCATTATGCTGCTTGTGCAGATAGAAAACCTAAACTCTTGGGGCAAGACCAGGCCTTCCCTGGTTTGTATCAGGGTATATGTCAAACAAAATTTTTTTAATTAATTATGTGTTATTTTAAATGGAAATATCCATACTGTATATTGTGATGTATACATAAAACATATATTCATGTGGCCATGTACATTCACAGAGCAATAGATAAATTGGTATTTTTATTTTTCTTATACCAGTGAATTTTATTATCATTGAATTGTTCTTAGCATAGTCCTCGTAGTTTTGGTTTATAGCAATATGTAAAACTTTTAGTATAACAGACTCTATATCTCTGGATGCTTTCTGCCAGGTGCTCGTCTGGGCATGTGGGGAATGTGATTCTACATCTATGCCAAGCAGTGGCAGAGCCTGGCAGGATCAGCACATCCCCCAGACATGGGGAGGAGTCTGCCACATGCTCTACTGAGAAGTGACAAGTGACTGAACAGCCGCAAATCACCAGGAGAGGAAGACAGTGAGAAACACTAGATTTCAGAGCCACGGAGCATTCACCTTTGAAACTAGATAGAGCCTGAGAAAGGAACTAGAGCAGGTCAGCTTAGTGACCTGCTGGAAATAAGTGGATCGACAGGGATATTGTAGAAAAGACCCAGTAGTAATCACTGTGGTGCATGCCACCTCTGCCCTCATGTCTACCTCTCAGCTTCCCCCTGTGCCTCTGACTTCATGGGGTTTCCCTCTGCCAAGTGCTGAGATAGGTGGGTGAGGACTAAGGTGGTGACAGCAATCTAACTGTGTCCCCTGAGTGGGGCCTGATAGTATCATTGGGTGGAAGGCACTTGGCCAGATCCCAACTATGCAGTTTATT